GCCCCCAAGAGCGTCGTCCTCCTGGCAGTCCGGGTAGCCAACCTTGGGTGCTGCTGGGTGCTTTTGGGTCACCCGGCTTCTTGTCTCTGCCACGGCAGCCTGCTCTGCCCCCACTGATGGAAACTGGGGCTCGGGTTAGAGAGGGCGGGGCCCCAGGGCATCCCCAGTCAGTCGGGCTGGGCCCTAGGCTGGGCACCCGGACCTGAGGTCTCTCCCCAGCACCTCTCGGCCGGCGGGAAGGGGGCACAGAGCCGCCGGGTTCAGTTCCCTCCTCTAGCTGGTCGGCGATGGCTCCGGGCCACCTCCAGGGGCCCCAAGACACCGCCCCTCCCCTGGCACACCAGAGGGGACCCACCTGCACACCCCACCAGGATGCGGTCCGCACCTGCTGGGGCTGGAGCAGGCGCCCGGCCCCACACCCGCCACCCACAGCGGAGCTGGCGCTGGGGGCACCCTGAGGTTCACTCTGGGTCCAGCCCAGCAGCGAGTCTCAGGCGGCAGCAAGCTGGCTCTGTGGCGGGGGCTCTGCCAGGTGCCACCACCTGCACACAGGCACGGGAGTGCCACCCTTAGGCCATGGGAGTGCCACCGGAACCCCGCCTCTGCCACCACCCAGCGCTGCACCCGCCGGCTGAGGCCCGGGCTTGCTAGAGGACCTGGAGGGGAGGGCCCTGCTGGGCCCCCCAAGCCCACTTCAGCTTCAGCCCCCACCGGGCCCCCTTTCTCTCTGAAGTGGAGCCAGATGCCCTGTCCCCTCACCAGAGGCGGCAGGGAAGAGCAGGAGGTGACCAGGTGATGGCCGTGGGGTGCAGATGAGGGGAGCAGCAGAGACCGTCGCCCCAAGCGGGTCTCCATGGAGAGCCCGTGGGCATGCCCCCCCCCGGCACACGGCACTGGCCAGGTACAGGGTGGCAAGCCCAGGCCGGGGTCTACAGGAGCAAGAGGAGCCCCCTGCCCACCAGGCAGCAGGGACCTTGGAAATGGAGTGGTGCCCCACCCAACGTGGCCCCCCCCGCCCCGATCCCCTGAGCAGCCCCTGAGGCCTCCGACCTGGGGTCCCTGCCTGGGGACCAGACCTGGTGGAGGGGCCGCCCCCAGCCTGCCCCGAGTGTGCGTGAGGCACCTGCTCCCCAACAGCGAGCTGCTCAGGCCCAGAACCCAGGCGCTTCATTCTGGTCCCCTAGAGCCCAGGGACCCAGGTTGCGCCCCCACTTGGGGCCTGCCTCAGCCCAGAGCTCCCCCCACCCCGCAGCTGCCC